ATATCATCAAGCTTTACACACATGTATATACACATTTGAAGACATCACATGACAATTATCTATATACATATATGTAATTGGCGTATCAAGATTACCTTTCATAATTTAGGTGTATAGGTACATGTGTAAATTTCCATTACATTTTAAGTGGTAAAGCAAATATGCAACGTGCCTGTATATTATCCAGGGATCTGAAAATAAATAACCCAGGCCGAGGCAGCCTTCGTTAATTATAAAACAGATGATGCTTATTTCTTAAGTCAAAGCTAACAGAACGAGAATGGGGTACGGTTATAATCTATCATGGTTTAGTATAAATTGATATATTGAGATTTTATACTGAATATTTGTAATACCATATATGTATATCAGAAATTATTTTTATTAGGAATGCCATATCTTGTAATGGATAACATAATAATGACATCTGAGAGGATATCATTATGTTAAACATTATACGTTTAAGAGATAGTAATGTAGCCGGGTTCAGGTGCTACACAGATTCTTATAAATCACGAAGAAGCAAATTCCTAGATATGCAATCGTTTTATTGGAGTCGAAAGACCCTGCAATATCACAAATAAAACATATAAGCACATATTCAATACATAAAAGATCTACATTATACAATGGACATCAAATTGGCTTTACATAAAGATACACGATACCCGTAACGGTTGCAATTAACATTACGAATTTAATACAATACATTTGAAATACTTATACATGATAAATTTTAGAATTGACCAATTTTGCACATGAACTATGATAATTACGAGATAATTAAATAGTGCCTTATATTAAAAATACCTACCCTATCGCTCCGACAGGGGTCTAATGATGATAGCTCTACGTATAATATACGTTGCCTACATAATAGGTCTATGGTTCTGTTGAAAACGAAAATAACAAAACTTAATATATAGTAAACATGTTTAGCAAATTACTTTTAAAATACTTTAGAGTGAATTACAGTTTCCATAAAAAGAGAATGGAAACCACACCCAAAAATACGTTTATCAAAGAAAGATATTTGAACTTCTTCAAATATTTTAACAATGCAAACATACTAATTCCATAAAGGTTACTCTAAAATATAGTATTTCAAATAGCTCAATACTAAAATGTTTCATACACTTACTCTGAAATAAGTAGAGTTCTGTTCACCGCAGTCGGTATAATATATGTCGGTATAGGTTTCTATGTCTGGTCCGGTCTCTATCCAGTGCGGGAGTGAAGATACAAGACGTACAAGTGCACGAGCTGACATGCGATCACGTGACAAGACATTTACATAACAAAACAGCACAGGTAACAAACACTTGAGACACACGTTGACCAGACAAACCGGTTGAACGAGTACGAGAATCGGTATATAAACATAGTTAAGTACGTCAGACATACGTACAACTTAAGCATTCTCACTTAGACAATACTATATAGTTTAATAATTTGCATTAAACTCTTATAACAAAATAACCTAAAAAGCATAGCACTGCCACAGTAATGTAATAAAGAATTACCTAGTGAGACACCAAAGGAAAAGTGAATATTAAATGAATTGTCGCTAAAAGCGAAAGGTTGATGTGTTTAAAACCATCAAAGTCTTGTTCGATCTCAAAGCTGAAATACAAGTTCAATTCATGGCGTTCACATTTGTTGTAGTCATCGTCAAATCTTTAAAGCTGCCATCCCGAATTGAATATGTACACTCTTACCAACAGGGTCACAGTGTCTTAATGGACCTTGAAGAAATGGCGTCATGTCTTTTCTCTTTGATCCATTATCACCAAAGGTGGTATTTTAAATGGGGTGATTTGCAACAAAAATAAGAAAACGATCAAATCGTTACGGCGTCAACAAGCCGTGTTCAAAAAGAACACGCCCACAAACCGAACGGTTGTTTCAGCGTGTCACTCACTGCATCTGGTTCGTCGATTGGTCGATAGAACGTTTGAGGTCGGTGTCGCATTGTTTTCAGAAGCAGTGTACACCATTGTATCTTTTTCGGAGACTTGTTGTTTGCGCGCATTGTCAACTTAAAATTACGCATGAAATTCAGATATGATCTTTTAATAACCAAGATATTATCATTTAGTGATAAAAGATGTTGTAAATAAAAACCCTCACAAACTTGGATAATGCAGCACATTTTTAACCAAAGAAAATTAAAATACATTCTTCAAATGAATGCTGTGAGAGACGAATCTAGAGAGCGCCATCATTGTTACGTCAATCTTTGGGTAATTTATCGTAGCACGTGCGTTGATAATAGAGTGGCTTGTATCTGTATTAACTGCCTGAGCGATTAACCATAAATCCATTTTGAGGGCAAAATTTGAACTAAAACAATCTGCTGATTATTTCACAAACAACTCCTGAGTTATTGCCACCATGAATTCAATGTTCTTGACGGACAGTACTTGCGTCAAATATGACATCATCGACTTCAAGTATGAGTGATGTTTCCAAATCATCACTATTACCCGAACTAAAGTGAAGCAGGTCATCACGTTCAACTTCATTCTCTTTTGTGTCGCTGATATCGTCAGCTAAGGGGACGTCCGGGAACATGGGGTCACCGTTTGCTGATAATGTAGTTGGTTGAACCCTACGCAAACATAATATTTACATGATAAAAAATGAATAATTTTGTTTTGTGTATGACCTGTGAGGAAGATGTATAGCGGATTACGATCAATTGACATTAAATTAAAGATAGCCTGTCGATATGTATCTTTGTATAATATAACGAACTACAGCAACATTATTGATATGAGACAGCTGATAATATCACAGATAATATACACTACTCTATCAATAGAAAATACCAGTAAAATAACAAAGAGACAATATATAGTTGTGAATCATTAATGAAGATTGTTCATTAAGTATTCAAGATCTTGCTCCGAATATCATGATCGCTGTGATAGATATCGACTACTGACAGACAAATCTGCAACACATGGTTTTAAAAGATGCATGTAAAAGGAGAGGGGTTTATAGTTTTTTTTCTAATTCCAACTGATTATTTATCAATCCAAATGCTTATGAAATAAAAACTTGTTGTCAAAATATTGAAATATGAATCAATCAATCTTGAATGGTTATATTTCTCCTATTGAACAACCGAGTGTGTTTATTCTACTGGGATAACGTTATGTTGTCAACTGAAGGTATATTGATGTACCTGTGTGTCGATCATTTCGAACGGAGGAACGTCAAAGAGAATGCCACAGTCAGGATGTAAACGCTGTCGCTCCTCCGAACTGATTACAAAGAAACAAGTTCAGTATTTTCATTATTATTCAACCAATCAATCAATCAATCAAATAATCATAAGTAGGAAGTTATATTCATATAACAAGGTATCATAATTAAACTGAATAAAATCAAATACATATATTACATGAAAATCAGAGTTAATCATTAGCATTGAAACTAGTGAGATGAAAAGGGGAGAAAAAGGTGCTGAGCTTTTACTTAAATTAAAAATTCAGAGCAATGAAAGGTTTATAATTATTACATAAACATAAATCAACTATGTTAGTTTATCCATAACAGTATATGTGGTGTTATATCTAAAACGGGACATATACATGTTCTATATATTTAAGGGTTGCATGATACTGTAAACTGGTGTTTTGTCATGAGGAAAATATATGACAAAAGGCATTATAATACTTGTCAACTATGTGCTACTTTTTTCGGCCAATTTTAATATATGCTGTTTAAGTGTTACGCAAAACACCAAACTGATGAAGAAACTCTAAAAAGATAACATGTAGTTTTGTAAAAAGGCGTCCATTTGTGATTTTGGTCCACCACTTTACCCCCTCATATCTCGGAATGGTCTCCATGCTGACCTTAATTTCATGTCATATCATGATGGTATAACCCCAAGGTATGTATATACGAAAAATAAAACTTATCGGTGATAGCCACCAAAAGGCCCAAATGGCACTCCTCCTTTGACTGCATTTGTTACCTTTTTATACAAAGCCAATTCATCATGAATTAAACAATTTTAATGCATATTTTTTCTGAATTTGTCATACGAAAAAACAAGGATAGCCTATAGGTGAAATTTAAAACATCATCACGTGAAAAGTAGTAAAAGCAGTTTAAACAAACATGCCATGGAACAAGGGGGAGTGGAGAGGGAACTACTAAATCTTTTCCTGATTTATATATGGTCATAAATCATCACACCCTTCAGTGATATAACGCAATCTAAGAGATCTTAACAGGGACTACACATTAACATAATTCTTCAGACAAATATATTAGCATTTCGGATATTTGTTGATGAAAGTGTTTGTAAATCAATAGAAATACTATCTAAACGAAAAAGGCCGATATTTCTATAAAATCTGTTAAGGAAAACGGATTTTGAAACTTAAACAAAAACTATATACCAGTAAGTGAAAGGTATGTAGGAACTGCCATAGTATAGTCGTTATGCTTACAGATGAATTATATTTTTAATATGGGACATCCAATTTGGCACTGACTGACCTATATTATGCTTGATACAATTGCGTTCATAAACTACTTGAAATGAATATTGCATTTTATGATTTTTTATGCATATATTTTAGTCTTTGATCATTTAGCCAATTTAAATATCCAAGGCACAATGGTTTTTGATAATGGTATATTAGTTAAGCTTACATACCATTGCCTGCAGTTTCTCTGCCAACGTATAATACCTGTACTGACGAAGAGGAAGACTACTACACGACCCACAACCGAACACGGTATTAGATTAACTTTCCACCAGCAAAGTCACCTGGCGGATGTGACTTTCCTTGATGAGGCATTGGAGGATCCGGAAATCGACTGTTGTCGGCGGTGGTTGTAAAGGTCGCATGAGTCGTTACTACATAAGGTATGGTCACAGTTGATCTATAACTTTTCGCTGTGGTATCCACTGTAGTTTTCGTGAAGATGGATGTGGAAAAGTCGGTCTCTCTGTAGGAATTTGTGTCGCAGATGTTTTACCAGGAGATGGTTTTGGTACAGGTGTAAGTGGTGTAAATATAGATGTCGGAGACGTGACTGTTTGTTGTGATGTTGGACGTGTTAGTAATGGCGCAGGCTGGGTAGTTGGTGTAGATGTTGGGTGTGATGTTGGACGTGTCGGTAATGGCGCAGGCTGGGCAGTTGGTGTAGATGTTTGGTGTGATGTTGGACGTGTTGGTAATGGCGCAGGCTGGGTAGTTGGTGTAGATGTTTGGTGTGATGTTAGACGTGTCGGTAATGGCGCAGGCTGGGTAGTTGGTGTAGATGTTTGGTGTGATGTTAGACGTGTCGGTAATGGCGCAGGCTGGGTAGTTGGTGTAGATGTAGGGTGTGATGTTGGACGTGTCGGTAATGGCGCAGGCTGCGTAATTGGTGTAGATGTTGGGTGTGATGCTGGACGTGTTGGTAGTGACGCAGGCTGGGTAGTTCGTGCAGATGTTGGGTGTGATGTTGGACGTGTCGGTAATGGCGCAGGCTGCGTAATTGGTGTAGATGTTGGGTGTGATGTTGGACGTGTTGGTAGTGACGCAGGCTGGGTAGTTGGTGTAGATGTTGGGTGTGATGTTGGACGTGTTGGTAATGGCGCAGGCTGGGTAGTTGGTGTAGATGTTTGGTGTGATGTTAGACGTGTCGGTAATGGCGCAGGCTGGGTAGTTCGTGTAGATGTACGGTATGATGTTGGACGTGTTGGTAGTGGCGCAGGCTGGGTAGTTGGTGAAGATGCTGGGTGTGATGTTTGACGTGTTGGTAGTGACGCAGGCTGGGTAGTTGGTGTAGATGGTGGGTGTGATGTTGGACGTGTCGGTATTGGAGCAGGCTCGATAGTTGGTGTAGATGTTGGGTATGATGTTGGACGTGTTGGTAGTGCCGCAGGCTGGGTAGTTGGTGTAGATGTTGGGTGTGTTTTGGACGTGTTGGTAGTTACGCAGGCTGGGTAGTTCGTGTAGATGTTGGGTGTGATGTTGGACGTGTCGGTAATGGCGCAAGCTGGGTAGTTGGTGTAGATGTTTGGTGTGATGTTGGACGTGTTGGTAGTGACGCAGGCTGGGTAGTTCGTGTAGATGTTGGGTGTGATGTTGGACGTGTCGGTAATGGCGCAGGCTGGGTAGTTGGTGTAGATGTTTGGTGTGATGTTGGACGTGTTGGTAGTGACGCAGGCTGGGTAGTTGGTGTAGATGTTGGGTGTGATGTTGGACGTGTCGGTAATGGCGCAGGCTGTGTAATTGGTGTAGATGTTGGGTGTGATGTTGGACGTGTTGGTAATGGCGCAGGCTAGGTAGTTCGTGTAGATGTTGGGTGTGATGTTGGACGTGTTGGTAGTGACGCAGGCTGGGTAGTTGGTGTAGATGTTTGGTGTGATGTTGGACGTGTTGGTAATGGCGCAGGCTAGGTAGTTGGTGTAGATGTTGGGTGTGATGGTGGACGTGTTGGTAGTGGCGCAGGCTGTGTAGTTGGTGTAGATGTTGGGTGTGTTGTTGGACGTATTGGTAGTGGCGCAGGCTGGGTAGTTGGTGTAGATGTTGGGTGTGTTGTTGGACGTATTGGTAGTGGCGCAGGCTGGGTAGTTGGTGTAGATATTGGGTGTGATGTTGGACGTGTTGGAAAGGACGCAGGCTGTGTAGTTGGTGTAGATGTTGGGTGTGATGTTGGACGTGTCGGTAATGGCGCAGGCTGGGTAGTTGGTGTAGATGTTGGATGTGATGTTGGATGTGTCGGTAATGGAGCAGGCTAGGTAGTTGGTGTAGATGTCGTTGTTTTCGAGTTCTGTGGGTCGGTAGTATTACAGTTCAGGTTTTCTCACCAATCAGTTGCTTTAAGTATCATTAATAACATATCTTTGTAATTATTAGCAACACGTTATTATATGATATTATATATATATCAACAACAACCTCGGCATTACCTTGTTGACTGTCTCCGTTAGCTAGGTTTTCACTTTGGCGGCTAACTGGAAGTTTTGGACATCACAGATGTTGAAGACGGAAGGCTACCCAGTTCTATTAATAACATCAATACACACTATTCCATACGGCACAATGAGTTTTATTATTACTGTTCGGGCAGCTTTATACGTACGCTCGGTTCACGTGTTTATATGTTCCTCAGTAAATTGAGTATTACGTAGGTATACCTGAGCACTGTCACTATTACGCAGTGTATCATTGCATCAACTGCATGAGTATTCTGACACCTTTGGTGTGTGTTGTCGGTGTACCTGTAATATTAGTATTACAATACCGAAAGTTGCTGTAATGACATTTTAAAAAGGCTCAAAATACACTAATGTAGTAAAACAATGTAATGACGTCATAACAATGGATAAACCAAGAGGAAAATCGTCTAAAGCGTATCCCATATTTTGGTTAATTTAATATTTTAAACCATCATAGAATAATAATATACGGCATTTGATATAGCGCCCTATCTAGCTAACCTTAGCCACTCTAAAGCGCTTTACAGTACATAGATATACACTTGTTTTTTCACAATCAATACAATTATCATTTACATTAATCCATACAATTTTAGGAATTCGCAGGCGCTAACTACTAGTCCTATGCCATCTGGCTAATATCTCCCTGTGTGTGTATGCCTGCGTGTGTGCTGGAGATGTATGGTGTTCTGTTTGTAGTGGGACCGTGCTTCCAACGGTATCATTTATAGTGCCACCTCACTTGAATGCTACAACACAGATACCGCAACATCCACCCCAGACCATTGTATGCTCCCCCCCTGGGTTGTTGGAGTTGTGTGGGCAGGAGAAAAATACTTTCTCTGAATATTCCATGCGTGCGACGACTTCGGGGAACGAACCCCGGACGCCTGCGTTGAACATAAACGGGTTATTAAGGAAACCCTATTCCTCAGAATCAGTAAAGAATGATGAATTGTTTAATTATTATAGCAGAAATATCAAAGTGAAAATTTCAGGATTTTGATCTTTCTACAAATATACCAGCTAGCCGTTTCTGACACTATACGTTTGACTGTATTTCTTTCTCAAGTTTCTTATATTGAATTATTGCATCAAAGTAGATAAGAACGTTCTTCGTTAAATAATTTTCTTACACTCATTATAAAACCCACCGTAATGAACACACATTTACTGGTTGTTTCTTAATGTATAACTAACAGATTTGGTAAACAAGGAAGGTTAAGTCCAGTATGGTCTAGTAATAAATAACATACTTGTATACTGATCATTTTTATGAAAGTAACTGTAACTATACATAATTATTTATTTAATATGGAAGTTTTAGCTTAAATATCCTATTTTTAAACAGAGAACGTACTAAAAGCATCTGTACCGATATATATTTTACACTTTACGTTAATAAGTAATAATGTGAAAAAGAAATATCCAATGAAACGCCGAAGGAAGTATGAATACTAAATGTATTGTCGCTAAATCGTTATTATACAACAAAGAAAATGTTCATGCCATTTAAACGCCTACGTCATGTTTTATCTCGTCTATGTATGACATGCATGTCTATCTCCGTCATTTCCATGACATTATCAAAAGTCAAAATGTTTTAATGGTCTTGAAGAATATGACGTCATCTCTTTTGTCTTTGGTCTTTTGTTACTATGGTTGATCTTTGATATGGAGCGATATGCAATAATTTGACATGGATGCGTTCACTTAATTAAAAGAAAAGACATGCATTCGGTTATTACACTTTTATTCATAAATATTTCTTGGATAAAACCCTTACAAATTGGTAATGAATTGCACCAATAGCAACACAGAAGCATTAAGTGACTATTTGGTTCTTCGACAAAGACAAAAACAGCAGTAAATTCAAAGGATCTCTGTCCCTATGTAGGCAAAACACCAAAACCGAAGTTACCTCCCCTTAATTGCGTTTTGGATATAATTGTAGCACTAGCTTACAAAACTGCCAAGTAGCTCAGTTAGCCCAGAGGAACATGAATTTTAAATCATCGTTTTCTTATTATTATGAATAACCTAATCGTGTGATCTGAATAAAGTAATTTGATAACATAATAAGGTAAAAGCACAATAAGGGAGTTCTGAAGTGACAACCAACGAAATCGTAATTGGAACTAAATACTATGGCAATAATGCAGAATATGCACAAAAATATTAACATGAACAAAATACCAGGAAAATAAGACCAGGATTTCCGGGTAAGTGTTTTGCGCTCAATGGCGACAGCTGCAATATAAATGAGAACTAAAGTAATGACGACGAAACCACAGGGCCCACTTATCAGCACAATAAAAACATCAAGATTACACAAGGAAATAAATATTTCCGATGAGTTCATTATGACGAATATTAACTAGTCTTCACCGACCTGCATTAAGTAAAGTCTGTTTAATCAAAGATAATTCAAAATACAGACTTCAATTCAATGGTGTGAGAGATGAATCTAGAACGCTTTGTCATTGTTGTTTCTGACGTCACTCTTGCACAATGTATTTTAAGTTACAATGGGATAAAAACATAATATCGAACCAATGCACATAGTTATCCTTCAAAACAAACTTGTTGTAGCCAGAAACGATTCCAACAAGTATCTAAAATCGGTTATTCTATATCCGAAACAAGCGCCACGGTTAAGAACTATGTCCTGGTAAGATTTTATTAACATCCTTTTTATGGTCAAATTATGTATTACACAATCGGCCAAGTATTCAAACAACTCCTGAGTTATTGCCACCATGTTTTCGTTGTTTTTGAAGGACAGTGCTTGCGTCAAATACGACTTCATCACAATCAATTTGTGGTGATGTTTCCAAATCATCACTATCGTTCGAACTTAAATAATGAAAACCAAGACGTTTAGCGTCATTGTCTTCTTTGTCACTGTTATCGTCGATTGAAAATCTGGGGTCACCGTGTCCTGTTAATGGTTGGACAAAACTTGTCTACAAATATAAAATTAATATGATTAAAAAGAACAAGTATGCTTTTACTATAATAATTGTGGAAGGTAGAATTTATTTGAGCAGATTTCCATTAATCAACAAACGATCAGATAATGTATTGGTATGATATTTCCGCATATTAGGACATCCAAACGAGTAATAAGTGAAAATGAACAAACTATGTTTGGTCATGATATATCATGGAAAATCAAATAATAAGTGAGGGTTAACCGGACTTGATACTAGAGTTGAATGAGTTTCTGCCCTATTTAACGAACAAGTGTATCTATGACGAATATACATGATTACATCAGGATTACGTTTTGATGTCTACTGAAAGCACATTTTACGTACCTGTACGTTAAATTGGAATGGAGGATCTTCAAAAGTCAGGTCACATTCGGCTTCAGAATTCAACGGTTGTCTGTCGTCCGACCTGTTGAAAAGAAACAAGAACGTTATTATATTTTGCAATCAATCGATCAATCAATCAATCAATCAAATTAAAGTAGGTTATGATGTACTTTTTTCAGTTTTAAAACACATGTGTATTACATTCAACTTAATGTTGAGAATACAAATCGGTAATATGATCCAATACAAGCCGGTAATATGGTCAAATACAAGCCGGTAATATGATCAAATACAAGCCGGTAATATGATCCAATACAAGGCGGTAATAATTATGATCCAATACAATCCGGTAATATGATCCAATACAAATCGGTAATATGATCCAATACAATGATCCAATACAAGCCGGTAATATGGTCAAATACAAGCCGGTCATACATGTATGATTAAATACAAGCCGGTAATATGATCCAATACAAGCCCGTAATACGGTCCGTTATAAGGACCATTATAAAGGTAGTACACACACACATACCATTGAACAAGAGACAGAAGACAGGAATTAATAAATCTTTTCCTGTTTTATATGTGGTAATAAATCATCAAACTCAACTGCAGTATTTCATAAGTTCAGGGGAATCTGATCAGGGACGACAAATTTACAAAATGTTCCGCACTTTATTGATGTTAATCGGTAAAATGGTTTGTAAATCAATAGAAATATCATCTAAAATTTAAAAAAAAAACTATTGTTATATAGATCATTACACATTTGTTTTTGAAATTTGAGTATTTAATTCGTATATCAACCAGGAGACGCCAGGGTGTAGTCGTTATGCTTACAACGGAATGCTTTTAATTGGCAAATTTGATTATAGTTCATACAGATATTTCCGTTACTAACTTGTGATTTATATTGTATCAGATGGATTTCTATACGTATATTTTGGTCTGTGCTCGTTTTGAATAGCTTATAAAGCCAAGGTACCATACTATCTAGTACCAGTAATGCAGTTGTGTAGGCTTACATACCTTCGTCTTCGGTTTCTATGCCGACGTATCATACCAATACTGACGAAGAGGAAGACTACTACACAACCCACCACCAAACACGGTATGTAGATTGACTTTCCACCAGCAGAGTTAATGGGCGGATGTGATGTCACTTTATGAGGCAATGGGGGATCTGACAGTCGACTGCTGTTGGCGGTGGTTGTAACGACCATAGGAGTAGTTACTATATGTGTTAACGTCACGGTTGATATAGAACTTTTAGATGTAGTCGTCACTATAGGTTTCTGAGAAGATTGGTGTGACGAAGTAGGTCTCCCTGTAGATATTGGCGTCGAAGATGGCTTGCCAGGAGATAGTTTTGGTACTGATGTAGTTACAACCGAAGGTTTCTGTGACGTTACAACGGAAGGTTTCTGTGACGTTACAATGGAAGGTTTCTGTGACGTTACAATGGAAGGTTTCTGTGACGTTACAATGGAAGGTTTCTGTGACGTTACAACCGAAGGTTTCTGTGACGTTACAATGGAAGGTTTCTGTGAAGTTACAACCGAAGGTTTCTGTGAAGATGGGCGTGATGAAGTTGATTTTACTGTAGATGTTGGCGTCGTAGATTGTTTACAGTTCGAACTTCCATCATCATTGAAGGTACAGTCAAAGGAGAAACACACAACATCCATGTCGACTTAATAAGGTGATTTAACACGACGTTATTCTGTAAGTGGCATAACAGTAATGATTATTGGGATATTTCAAATATATTCACATTAACAAAATAAACAGACACACTGTGTCATACTCATAAGTTCTAGAAAACATGGTTGAATAACTAGGTTACATAACTTGATTCTGTACCAACGACACACTTCTAAAAATATACTCAACAACACAATTTTTTGTAAGTTTTATCAACAACACAATTTTGTAGGTAGAACTGCATATATGTAACAAAATTCTATAACTGTTTTAAACAACACAGTTCTATAACAACTATTATCAATAACACAGTTCTATAACTATTATCAACAACACAGTTCTATAACTATTATCAACAACACAGTTCTATTACTATTATCAACAACACAATTATATTACTATTATCAACAACACAATTATATTACTATTATCAACAACACAATTATATAACTGTTATCAACAACACAGTTCTATAACAACTATTATCAACAACACAGTTCTATAACTATTATCAACAACACAGTTCTATTACTATTATCAACAACACAATTATATTACTATTATCAACAACACAATTATATTACTATTATCAACAACACAATTATATAACTGTTATCAACAACACAGTTCTATAACAACTATTATCAATAACACAGTTCTATAACTATTATCAACAACACAGTTCTATTACTATTATCAACAACACAATTATATTACTATTATCAACAACACAATTATATAACTATTATCAACACCACAGTTCTATAACTATATTCAACAACACAGTTCTATAATACAGTTCTATAACTATATTCAACAGCACAGTTCTATAACTATTATCAACACCACAGTTCTATAACTGTATTCAACAACACAGTTCTATAATTATTATCAACAACAAATTATATTACTTTTCTGAACAACACAGTTATATAACTATTATCAACAACACAGTTCTATAACTATTATCAACAACACAGTTCTATAACTATTATCAACAACACAGTTCTATAGATATTATCAACAACACAATTCTATAACTATTATCAAAAACAAAATTCTATTGCTATTATCAACAACAAAATTCTATTACTATTATCAACAACACAGTTATATTTCTATTCTCAAAATCACTGTTATATAATTATTCTCAACAACAAAGTTCTAAAACTATTATCAACCACACAGTCCTATAACTATTATCAACAACACAGTTATATAACTATTATCAACAACAAAATTCTATAACTATTAACGCAACACAGTTATATAACTGTTCTCAAAATCACTGTTATATAATCATTCTCAACAATAAAGTTCGATAACTTTTGTCAACAACACAGTTCTATAACTTTCATCAACAACACAGTTCTATAACTATTATCAACAACACAGGTCTATAACTATTATCAAAAACACAGTTCTATAACCGTTATCAACAGCACAGTTCTATGACTTTTATCAACAACACAATTCTATAATTTTTATCAACAACAAAGTTCTATAGCTTTCATCAACAACACAGTTCTAAAACTATTATCAAAACCACAGTTCTATAACTGTATTCAACAACACAGTTCTATAATTATTATCAACAACAAAATTCTATAACTATTAACGAAACACAGTTATATAACTACTATCAACAACACAGTGATATAACTATTATCAGCAACACAGTTCTATAACTACTTTCAACAACACAGTTCTATAATTATTATCAACAACAAAGGTCTATAACTATATCCAACAACAAAGTTCTATAGCTTTCATCAACAACACAATTCTATAATTTTTATCAACAACAAAGTTCTATAACTATCATCAACAACACAGTTTTATAACTATTCTCAACAACAAAGTTAAATAACTATTATCAAGAACACAGTTATATAACTACTATCAACAACACAGTTCTATTACTACTTTCAACAACACAGTTCTAAAACTATTATCAACAACAAAGTTTTATAACTATTCTCAACAACAAAGTTCTATAGCTTTCATCAACAACACAGTTCTATGACTTTTATCAACAACACAATTATATAACTGTTATCAAAATCACTGTTATATAATCATTCTAAACGGTAAATAAACATATGAGGCGGTTATAATCAAACCAAATGGTTAATTATCGTACCAAACGGTAAATAAACATATGAGGCGGTTATAATCATACCAAACGGCAAATAATCATTCAAAATGGTAAATAAACATATGAGGCGGTTATAATCATACCAAACGGCAAATAATCATTCAAAATGGTAAATAAACATATGAGGCGGTTATAATCATACCAAACGGTTAATTATCATTCTAAACGGTAAATAAACATATGAAGTTCTATAACTATATCCAACAACAAAGTTCTAAAACTATTATCAACAACACAGTTCTATAACTATTATCAACAACACAATTATATTACTATTATAAGCAACTACATTGTAGGAACTTTTCCATTTACAATAAATGATAGTTACATTACCTTATTGAATCTCTTCTCTGGTTTTGACTGTACAACTTTACTCTGACGGCAAATAGGAAGTGTTACACGCAGCAGAATCGGAAGAAGGAAACCCGTCCAATGCTATTTATAACAACCAATACACGCAATAATATACGCTTGAATGCATCATGAGTGTTATAGCTGTGTGTATAGCTTTAAATGTATGCCTGATACACCTATATGTATATCGCTGAGTGAATTAACTATTACCTAGAAGTTAAACAGCATGGCCAACGTTACAATGGCACAGTACCTTATAGCATCAGCTTCGTCAATATGCTGATACATGTACCTTAAAGGTTATGCTACCACACTATTTGGGTTATTGGTTATATCTTAAACTAACATATAATGGGATCCGATGTTCCACGGGATCAGGAAAATGTGAGGTAATATATAGCGTTGAAAGGAGAAACATATACTATATGTGAAATGTCTATAAATTTTCCTTGATGACACAGTATACGTAGGGCTGTATATCCATTTCCAGTTTTTATGTCAATTTATTGAATCAAAGTAGAAAGGTAGACACCAAAATATAGTATATGGTTTTTTCTCAGCCACTTTGCCAAAAGTCATTACCGGGAAATATTAAATTTGAATGGTTTGAATATAATTAAGGGGATTTTACCTTGTAAACCACTTGTTTGTGTCTGACGTTCATCACACAAGGAAACAACACATTTCCCAATGAGGTATTGATAACGGTCCTTACACATGCCCATAGTCTTCATCAACCTGATTTCCAAAAACCCTTTATTGTATTTTTTGTTTACTACCATACAAAATCGAGATATTCAGAGCAAGTCTATGAAAATATAATCAACTCAACATGTGAACACAGTTGGTAGGGGAAGCAGGGCTGTCACTATCAAGAAAATAGAAATGTCAAGGCGGAAATTCAAAATGGTCAAGCTCATCCTACAGCTAAGTACATGAAGTGGGCTGTTCCTGGTGCTTATATTGTAGGTAAAACTGCTAAAAGCTGTTGAACGGTAAAAAAAAACATATAAAACGGTACATGGTCATACCAAACGGTTCATAATCATTCTAAACGGTAAATAAACATATGAGGCGGTTATAATCAAACCAAATGGTTAATTATCGTACCAAACGGTAAATAAACATATGAGGCGGTTATAATCATACCAAACGGTTAATTATCATTCTAAACGGTAAATAAACATATGAAATTGATATAATCATACCAAACGGCAAATAATCATTCAAAATGGTAAATAAACATATGAAATTGATATAATCATACCAAACGGCAAATAATCAATCTAAACGGTAAATAAACATATGAGGCGGTTATAATCATACCAAACGGTAAATAAACATATAAGGCGGTTATAATCATACCAAACGGCAAATAATCATTCTAAACGGTAAATAAACATATGAGCCGGTTATAATCATACCAAACGGTAAATAATCATTCTAAACAGTAAATAAACATATGAGGCGGTTATAATCATACCAAACGATAAATAATCATTCTAAACGGTAAATAAACATATGAGGCGGTTATAATCATACCAAACGGTAAATAATCATTCTAAACAGTAAATAAACATATGAGGCGGTTATAATCATACCAAACGGTTAATAATCATTCCAAACGGTAAATAAACATATGAGGCGGTTATAATCATACCAAACGGTAAATAATCATTCTAAACGGTAAATAAACATATGAAGCGGTTATAATCATACCAAACGGTTAATAATCATTCTAAACGGTAAATAAACATATGAAATTGATATAATCATACCAAACGGCAAATAATCATACCAAACGGTAAATAAACATATGAAATTGACATAATCATACCAAACGGCAAATAATCAATCTAAACGGTAAATAAACATATGAGGCGGTTATAATCATACCAAACTAATCTATAACAGAAATTTATAAATAAATTCCAGGTGATTTTTTAAAAACTTTTTATGAGGCCAATAATGACCCTTAACGCTCATAGTCCTTTAACCATATCATGTTTGCTTTCTCCAGCACAAGTTGAATATATTTTCAATGTAACCAACTCTTTATAATCTCTCCCCCAGACAAATGGATTATATATGTATGTTAAATGTTACCATATCTGATTAACTCTCTCCGTAAAACTGGAATGTTGTTAAATGTCAACGTGTCTTCATAAGATATCTACAAACCAAGTGGAGTTTACGTTAAATGTCACCAACTGTTTATAAACTCTCTCCCAGAAAAATGGATTATATATGTATGTTAAATGTTACCATATTCATATTCACTCTCTCATAAACAAATGTAATGTTGAACTTATTCGGCTTTCTGCGTACTGCTTGTTTTAAACTTAATCGACATCAATATTTGTAGAAGCATATCTTAATACGGTACGATTAGTTCATAAGTTGTGAACCTTGTATTTATGTGTAGCTTTAACGATTGGTTCATAAGTTGTGAACCATGTATTTATGTGTAGCTATAACGATTGGTTCATAAGTTGTGAACCATGTATTTATGTGTAGCTAAAATTATTAGTGATTACTGTCTGCTCCCACAGCTCTTTTGGTTGTTAAGCATTAAATGGTGTTCTGATTTTTTTTTATTGCAGCTTGGTATGGGAACATTATGGAGTTCCAATACAAAATATCACCGTATATAATTATGTATCGAATATAACTCTGAAACCTCGGGACATATGGGTCGCAGGTATGTACACTTGCATTGTGGTTAAAAGGTACATGCATGGCCGTACGTCGACAGTATGGAGTTAGCGGAAGTTATACCATCCACCAGCACTACTCCTAGTGACGTAATGTACGAATATCCTCCTCTGAACATGCCATATACGTGACGGTGCGATCATCCGCACAGTGAAATAAAACCGGAAGTACAATGGATGTAGACCACATCAACCGGAAGCACGCCACGACCGGTACAATACAAGGAATCGATCACTTCCGACACTGCTGGTACGTTTAAATAATAAAACAAATATATAATTTCAACAAATATTTACCCCTCCGAAACACATTGTATTATTATTGTACTTTTTCAGAGTTTCATTGTCAATGTTTCATTGTTTCACATCTAGTCTAGAAGAATTTATTTAGTTTGAATAACATGTTTGTTTACATGAACGTTTTTTACTACAGTGCGGTTTAATTGCAGAATTCAAAAGGGTATTCCATTGATACGTGTTGTTCACCGATCTGATGAATAGATGTTACTTTGAAGTGGGGTTGCTAAGGAAATCCACCATCTTGGATCCAAGATGGTGGCCTTAGCAACCCCACCTCCTACGGTTTCAAAGTAACATCACTTCATCACATGTGTTTTGATTGTGTCGTCATCATTTTTGAGGTACTCACATAATTATCTCCCCCTGTATATGTATTAAATACTGCCTTCTGTTTTTTTAGGTATGCATGGTTAATAGGACTACACTCGAACGTCGGGCCCTGTGAGAAAGAAGAAAAAGAAAGAAACAGAATGCATTTCATTGTACATATGCTCAATAAATATTAGTAGACACTCTCTCTCGGTTCTTCTGGTTTTTCCGGTTGTGGTTTTACATTCTGTAGACTGTTTGCAATCATCTCTCCGTGAAAATGAGGGGCTCTGTTTCTCACAATAATGCGTTATTTATAATATAAATAAAATTCACGGCATATTTACGGTGTTTTCGAGTGTGGTATTAAATCGAGATGAACTTTCTTTTCGTGTAGGAAGTGAGTGTGTCGGTGCTGTAGCAGAAAGTGCAAGTCGATATGCGTTTTTTTTCTTCTAGATGTTTTGGGTTTCAATGTGGCTGATACTTTTACTTCCTTAAATCTGATTGGTCGAATTCTGATTGAGGGCGCATGGTCGCGGGTTCGATGCGCGCCGTTGTCATTTTTATTTTATTTTTTATTTTATTTTTTATTTTATTTTTTGTATAGAATCCTTCTTGATTTTTTCTAAGAAGTTTGAAACTAAGGTTATTTTAATAATAGATAGATAAATCGATCAATGTGAAAGAACGTATTTCGAGACTAAATTAAAACAAGTACGAATTTTTTTTTTTGATGTAAAAATATGCAGATACTGCTGATTCTGTATTGTATGTTGTCCACTATTTGTACACACTTGTCCCCTATTTGTCCCCTATTTGTACACACTTGTCCACTATTTGTCCTTTTTTGTCCCTTGTCCCCTAGTTGTCCTCTATTTGTCCCTATTTGTCCCCTATTTGTCCCTAGTTGTCCCTATTTGTCCCTATTTGTCAACTATTTGTCCACTATTTGTCAACTATTTGTCCCTATTTGTCCCCTAGTTGTCACTAGTTGTCCCCTATTTGTCCCCTATTGTCCCCTATTGTCCCCTATTTGTCCCTAGTTGTCCCTAGTTGTCCCTAGTTGTCCCTAGTTGTCCCTAGTTGTCACTATTTGTCCTTATTTGTCCTCGTTCGTCATAAGTCTCAAAGTTTGACAGTATTTTGCTAATCGAGCTAAGGCATTCAACAAAGCAATCAAGATGTGGCTACGGGTCCCCCGGGTTTTTTCCCCCGTATTATCCGATCATAGTCGGGGGTATCATCAGTGCCCAACTGACTCATTGTTGCCCGCTTTAATTTTTTTTAATTGTTTTGTTTTTTAATTTTTTGTTTTGTTTTTTGTTTTCTTTTGTTTTTGTTTTTTTCTTCTTTTTATTTGATACATTGATTGATTATCATTTACATAAGCAACCCCCCAGCCATCCCATGGATTTGTTGGCAAACGAAGACATCACGAAACGAGCGTTCTTACGAAGTCGTCTACGAAATACGTGTTAGCATGAAAGTCTTTTTTTAATAAGGACGTTATGTCGGACATCGTTTTTCCTTTACATCTCTGAACTATGTAGAAAATGCAATGTTGCCCGCACACTAACGAGTGGAGGTGTTGTACTCTAACGCCGTTGTACCGCCAACTTCGACACTGTCTGTCCATGAAATTAGTGAATACTTTGTTCGTCGGCGGAAATCCGAAGGGATCGTAATATTCTCCGTGGCCTTCACCGTCTATGTGCACCGCAATCCAGTGTTCACCCTCAAGTGTATCGGGATCTGTGTTACACACGAGTGCACACGGCACGTTTAATCGTCTCGGTAATCTGTTTCTGGCGTACACGCCTTTGAAATGAGGACAGTTTTTGTTCAAGATGGAATCTATTTGAATGGTATTCATCATGCGCTGTAATCGAATAAAATCTGTCTGTTACGGTCGATTTCTATGATGTTGTCAAACTCTGCATACACTATGACGTTGATCGTCGCTGTTAAAATCTCGTTGAAATGAAGGTGTAGACTCATGTTTCCGCTTTTTATGAGATGAAATGTGCCCATCTCCGACAGATCGGGCGTGAGGTCGAATCCGAACAGGGTGTATCCTTTCCCGAATTCCTCTCGAGACACGTTGTTTCCCTCGTCGTGGTAAATTTTACCCGTGCTCGTATAGAGATTCATGTAGCTGCGCACGTACTGACCGTTCGTGAAGTCCGATTGTAATGGCTTGGCTGGAATTTGTTTCCCGTCCACATTCAGACACACGTAATCGACCTTGTGGTGTTTGAAATTGAAAGGATTTTTGGTGGCGGTACCGTTAAAAGCGTCCGTGTCGACCATGCCCAGGACGATCCTCTTGGGCATCTGTCCTATGAACAGGTTGTCCTTGGTAAAGTCCATGTTACCTCGAGGCACGGACGTCACTTTCATTTCTATTCTCCGTATCGGATACTTGGCGGGAGTTTTTTCCATGGCTCTCGCGTGAGCAAGGCGAACGGACGGATTCAAACGCACTTTCCTTGCGTACAGACAGATATCTTGCACTACTGCTTTAAACGTGTCGCCCTCTGCATTGAGACAGAACACGTCCTTACTGCGTGACATGTTTATTTCCACGTCGACGTTGTTGACTAAGTAGCGTTCCTGTGCAAACACGTCCGCATGGATTTTCCCCATCAAATCGACGGTGCGACTTCTTGCCGTCATCGCTTTCCTCGCGACGTATCCCAAGTTTTCGTCGCCCTGAGTGTCCATTTGACCTGCGGTATCTTTGTACCACATGGAGCCTGTCAGTTGAGAGTCTTTAGCTGCGGGCCCGTAACTTAACAGGGTTTCGATGTACGCTCTGTACGGATAGGCATTGTCGGGCGGAGACACGAGCCTTTCGTTTAGACTGACGCTCACGTTATTGAACAGCGAATGTAAGAATAAATTAGTCGGAGCTACGTTCGAATCAGCCGCTAGGGCGGCACCGTCGTCTTTCTTTACCAACTTTACTTTCACGAATAGGTTTGTGTTCCCCAAGTCTAGGTAATCTTCTCCGGATCCAGATATCTTAAACGTGTACGGACCTCCGTCGTTGACCGACGTCACCGTACCGATCTGTTGCCAGTAGCCGTCTTCGACACTCGTCTGGGTGGGAGGTACGTCAAAAAGATCCAATTCGGATTTCGCGCACTCGCACGAATTCGGATGAACTAACGACATGACTTATGTATTGCGAAGTTTAATAGCGGTCGAACGGAAAATCGATACATTTCGTTTATATTTATACACTTTTCTGCCCCTAATCATCTAAATAGTCTACTCTTCTCTTTTTGTTACGTTTCGATTTTCGACGTCGTCCCGGCGGACCTTCTCTAACGTTGTCTAACGCGCGGTTTCTCAATTCACTTCCGGCGTTGCGAGCCCTAGACAACGCTGCAGTTTTGATATTCTTGCCGTCTATGACGTCGCCTGCTATTTCCATACCCGTTTTCAAAGCCTGTGTTCCTAATGCCTTCGCACCTCTTTTTAACAACGGGGCTGCAGCCTTAAACAAACCGCTGAATATCGAACCAAGACCGTGACCTCTCTGCGTTCGACTTCCGGCGAAAACGTTGTTTCCGCTTCCGGCTTGATCGAGATAATACCGATCGAACACGTAGGGATCGCTTCTGTGTGGAGGGTGCCTCATCTTGAAAGTTTTTGAAATGTTGATTACTGTCGTTTCGAATCGTATATATATAGCATTTTTAGGGAAAGTCTAAGGGTCTTCTTTTGAAATGTAACGTCATCACTACTTTGCCGGTCTCGAACTGTACGGGTGCGCCCGTGTCGTCTCTCAGCGTGAGTTCCACTTCTTGAAATTGACGCTGTTGTAAAGGTACGTAGTGTACGGGATCGAATACTTTACACACCGTGTCGCCAGGTTTGCCTTCTATCGGAACGATGCGTAGTAGTGGAGCTCTCGTATCTCCGACCATTCTCGATTCGACGAGAGGACAGTAAGCGTACAGAGAATAAAATCCTCTTCGAACGTCACTATTGAATTCCGCCGTGTGTGTTCCGTCCGCGAATTCTTGTTTTCTAAAACCGAGCATTTCGCTTAAAGCCCGAGTGAGGTATACGTGCACGCCTTTGGTAATGTGAAGCCTAACTTTGTGATCGTGTTCGTGGACGTGAAAGCTAAACCGATCGCCGTGAGAAATCATTCTCTTAGCTTTATCCACGTACTTCAGCACTCTTTTCGTAGATGAATAATATCCTTCCGGTATGTCTATCGTCAATCCGGGACTTGCCTCGTTACCTGCTCCCAGTGATAACTTCAGCTGAGCTTCGCCGCTTTTCACGTTATACCACAGATGTGGATAGTGTATCTCGGCTAATCCCACCTCCCAATTTCCTTTTAGATCTAAGGGTTGTGACAACCGCGTCGTATAAGTGGTTAAAGTATTTCCCGGATAGTAATCCATGCTACTGTTACTTGGTAGCGTCAGATAAAACATCTCTATGACTGCGTTTGACGGACGGATTTGGAAGTACGTAACCTAGACTGCTGCTCAGTAGAGTGATCCACAACTCCGTGTGTCCGTTTGAAAACGATAAGTTGAGTATACAACTTACGACTACCGTGAACACTACGAAGACTTGAACGAAAAACAATATCTCTCCTTTTGGTATTCTCTTGCCAAATACGGACCACCTAGCGTCGCTGCCTGATTCCGACATTTCTTGTTAGTAACCACGAAAGCGAGTTCCCTTTTATAGATGTTTTGGTGACTCGCTTGACTAATAAGGCGACCACCTTCGTTGTTTTCGCACTGTAGACGGAGTGTGGAACGAGGAGATAAAACCGCTGTCGTCTTCGTCTTCGTCTTCGCTCCACGTTTCGGGTATGTTACGTAACTCGGGCGTGCGCTCGGGAGTTCTAGCGCGGCTCCTAGTCGGCGTGGCGGACGACAGTCTTTGCATTCTTGAGGTGTATGTCTTATTGCTTATCCAACTTTGGGGTGCATTCGAGCGTTTGAGTGCACCCATGAATTCGTCGAGACCCTTGGGAGCCACGTGTTTGAGTGAGGTCGGACGTGCGGCATTACCGACTAAATCCACCAGATTCGATCCAGGAATCACGGAGCTTCCTTTGTATCCGAATTCGCCGCGGTCGTTCCATTGAATGACGTCTTTCAATCTTCCCAACAACAGTTTAGTTTTAGAATGAGCTCCGCGCGGAATGCTTTCTAAAATGGCATTTTCTATGTGGTCGACTTCGTTTGCGGATTCTACCCGAGGCTCGGGGGCCTCGGTAGGCGCCAGGGCCTTCGTAGTACTGTCTCTATCTAAGAATTCTCTATAGCGATCGACGTATTTCCTAAGTTGCTGATCGTATAACGTCGCTTTCTGGCTGTCCGCCATGTCCAGCCTATCTAACGTCCTATTCATTTCTCCGTCCAGGGCGTTCAGCGACATCACGGACGTCGAGACGGGCGGTTTGGGTCTAGAGCGCACGTCGCGTCCAGACATGACCACGTGACGGATTCTCATTGAAATATCGAAGCCACTTTAGAAATGAGTCCCGGTAAGAACGTAGCCGCCAACGGGGCTAAAAGAGCCGTGAGAAATCCACCCTTTTGAATGATTTTCTTCTTTTTACTTATAGCTAGTTTTTTTCTTAAGATCTTTCTGAGTTCCGATTTATGTCGTTTAAGAGCCGAACGTTGTTTCCTCGTACAGTGTACGTTTCCTAGCAGGATGTTTTTTGAGCATTCACAGATGCAATTAATTAAATTTCTGTCCGCTTTTTCTACGACCGCTTTTCTGACGGTAGGTTTAGCGCGACACAAAAACTCCAATTCTCTAGCGTGTTTTTCTATGTTTGACGTAGCATACGTCATCCTAACATGAAAAATATTCCGATGATTTCTGAGAACTGACCGAAACTAGTATATTTATACCTTTTTCGGTTCTTTTTCAAACGTTTAAACGGAATACACCTTTTGATATTCTCCCGGGAAAACAAACGAACGTAATCGAACTTCTTCCGACGTGTCTTGTTTCAAGTCGACGAGTAGATAACCGTGAGGTTTAGACGTTGCTGCTGAATATGCTTCGTATAATAGCGTACCTCCTCCTGGAAACATTTGCTGAGACAGACGTCTTATCTGCGACGAATCTCTGGGGTTTTTCATCAGTACGATGTAATGGGCATTGAGACTGATGTTTCTGTGATATTTCGTCTGGTGAAATAGATTCTGTACCACGTACATGACGCTTATGTTACCGTGATGACTTTTCTTGGTAAACAGCGAAGCTACGGAATCGTCGGCTTCCATCATCAGATCGTCGATGATGACTAGGTGTTTGAGAGTCGGATCGAAACTCTTCAAGTCCGGTAGACCTTGTTCGAACTTGACGCCGTCTACGAACCCGTACGACGTCTGGTATTCTCCGTAACACCAGACGACGTTGTCCGGTTTAGGAGTCACCATGCGATCGACGTTTGCCAGGAAGCGTTTCACGAACTCCGTTTTTCCACTTCCAGTAGGACCCGCGATGATGCACGTGAACGGATGTTTCCAGGGAAAGAAATGGGCCTCGCATGCGGGCGGTAAGAAATGCAGTGGCGTAGACGTCAATTCGTACGGTAGATTATAGTCGTACGAAACGACTGAGGTATTTCCGCTAAATTGAGCGGGCGAACGCCATACCTCGAGTCTAGGATTACGTAGAGAAGAGTGTTTTCTCGCCACGTGTTTCCACAGAGAATTTTTCAATGCGTACGATTTGGAACATGCCGGACACGTGTGAGGCATGACGACGGAATGATTTTTTTTTCGCTTTCAAACTAACGACTTCAATATATACTATTTCATGTCCCTCTCGGGAATCCAAGAATCGAATTTCTTAGGCCATCCCAACCATCTCACGAGGACTTGGGTTTGCCCTTTTACCTTCTTCTTTTTCATTATCTGTTCGATTTTCCACTTTGTGTCTCTGTCTCGGTGTACTTTCTGTAGTTCGTATTCGTTAAACGATCCCTGTATCGGTTCGCCGTCGAAGTCTTCCACTTTATACACGGGAATGTCTCCTCGATAATATCTGTGAGTCACTACAAATATTTCCTCCGTCCATTTCTGCTGCCATCCTCGTCGAAACTGACGTGTTTTATAACTCAATCTCACTTGATCGCCCTTTTTAAATTTATATTTCCTTTTCGTGCGAGGTCCTTTCTTACCGTTTACGTGCTGGTCTTTTCTACGTAGGACCTCGTAAGGATTGTTTTTGGTTACTTCTTTAGGCGATAATCCGTACAGGGCCGAATGAACCCTGCCGTTATAACTACGAACGATATCGGCCAACACGTCGGTAAACTTAAACGTCTGATTGGAATGAAAGTATCTGTACAAAATATTTTTAAACTTCCCTATAAACGATTCGGCAAATGCAGCTTTATGAGCGCTGTGACTTAAGACGTGCGTAATGCCTACATATTTACAATACTGTTGAAATAACTTATTCGCAAACTCTTTTCCGTGATCCGTTCTTATGATGTTTGGTTTTCGTTCGCCGAAAATAGTTTTAAAAGCTTCTAACACCGTACTGGCCTTCTTGTTTTTCAGGGGTAGAACCCAAGCGTACCGCGAAAAATGATCTATGACAACGAGCAAGAACCACGTGCCTTCGTTGTGTTCTTTAATGTCAGATACGTCTGCCAAATCTGCGTCCCACATGTAGTCCACACCCACTAAAGGTGTTTCGGCTGACGGCGTCTTGTGTCGAACCTGTCTTCGGACACTGTAGGGGTCTTGATTCTGCAACCAGTCGGTTATCTTTTGAAGACTGATCTTGAAATACACATATTCTATAGAACTACTGACACATATGTTACAGACCTACTGATATGAGTCAAAGCACAAATAAACATTTCAGACATTTGTAACGAACCTGTGCTCCGTCGCAAGATCACTCACTTCAAACGCTATCAGTTTCACGCGTCTCGAATCCACCATTCCTTAGTTTCTGACGACATGTCAAATAACGAGAATGTTATAGAATCTACCGACTGTTGTCAGGTTCCCATACAATCAACAAATACATTCACGCCTGGATTCTTCACAAGTAACGAAAAAGTTCGTGTGAAGTCTTTTGTAACCGTACAAATTGTATATATGATAAAAGATTTTTTTCTTCTTTGATATTATTTTCCAGGAAGCAAACGATAAGTAAAGGTTTTGCATTAATTTAAAAAAATGTTTTTTACAAAAAGAGCAAAGAGAAAAGTTCGAAATTAACTTCCAAAAATAACTCCCTCGTGGAGGGCAAGGTCGGCTTTACGGTGTTCACTGTATTTGTCCATGCGCGAACTTTGTTCCGGGGGGAAATCGAAACAATTTAAAATCTAACTTTCAGCTCAGAGTTCTATTGAAAACTTCAATCACCCTATATACATATCATACGCAATTGTATTGATACTGAATTGTGGAATAAAACTGAAGTGTTTGTTAAAATTTCAAAGTACTACTTTGTTTGCCAATCAGCACGCGACAACACGCTGTTCAAACTATTGAACGAAATTGTGTGGACTGTCGATAAGGCGGGCATTTTTAATTCTAAATATAAATTATCAGTTAAAAAATAACATAAGAGGAAGAGCAAACGTAAATATAAGTATTGAACTGTTTTTGTATGGTATTTATGATCTATTTGAATGACACAGCTTTGCAAGCAAACAGATCATAATGCGCTAGCGCGCATTATATTGTTTCCTTGCAAAACTGTGTCATTCAATTAAAGTACAGGCTGTACGTTCTAACTGAACCGTGGCAAAACACACAGTAACTCACATTAATGCCCTAAACTCTTTCTTCTGCTCATGTACGCATTAACATCGTAGACACGGATGTAAACACCATTCCATAAAGAAGCCTTATCCGATAACATATATATCGTAATCATATACTTGTTTAAAATTTAGACCAAATTGCATATGTGATACTGTATTATTCCAATTGTCGATATTGCCCGCCCGTGTAATAACCTATCGATATCAGCCCGTATCAGGTGATATCAGCCCGCTTCCGGATATATCAGCCCGCATCCGGGTCTTCAACACAGTCCGGTCCGGTGACCGCTTCAAATTTTAGAGGTTTATTGTTGTTGTCGTCTGCACACAGCACATCACACGTCTACAAGAGTCTCATGAGGAGGCAGTACTCGAGTCGTCAACCTATATCAGGTCCGCGGACCTTCGGCCCTTAGGCCTGATACAAGTAGCTCGGGCCAATATGGGGCCTGATATGAAAACAGACATGTAATAACCTCTAAATATATATTTTAATTTTACTTACTTGTCTCTTCTTACTGCTCCTAATTTTTGTCTCCGAGATTATCTGTTGCTCAAAGACACTTTCAGGTCGATTTTGTTGTTGATCCTAGTAGGCTTGAAGACTTCTTACCAGGAAGCGGGAGTGAATTTACTTTCCTGAAACCGTATAAATAACTTCCGTAGTTTGACCTGCAGCGGCTGTGAAGTCGGCACCTTAGAGTGACGAAACTAAGAAGCCTTGTGTATAACATATGTAATATTTCGCTTTGCTTTCACACTATTCAGGAAATGTCTTGTATGTTGTATTTTATTACAACAGAGGCCACAACAGATGTCTCTACCACAGAAATCCCAACCGAAGTTTCTACAACAGATATCCCGATAGAGGTTTTTACAACAGATATCACAGATGCATCTACGACAGATCCCCAATAGGTTTCTCTACAACAGAAACCACATTAGGTGTCTCTACAACAGAAACCACAACAGGTGTCTCCACAACAGAAACCACAATAGGTGTCTCTACAACAGAAGCCACAACAGGTGTCTCTACAACAGAAACCACAATAGGTGTCTCTACAACAGAAGTCACAACAGGTGTCTCTACAACAGAAACCACAACAGGTGTCTCTACAAAGAAATCCCAACAGGTGCATTTACGACAGATCCCCAACAGGTTTATCTACAGCTGAAATCACAACAGGTGCATCTACAAAAGAAATCCCAACAGTTGCATTTACGACAGATCCCCAACAGGTGTATCTACAGCTGAAATCATACCAGCTGCATCTACGACAGATCCCCAACAGGTGTATCTACAGCTGAAATCACAACAGGTGCATCTACGACAGATCCCCCAACAGTTGTATCTACAGCTGAAATCACAACAGGTGCATCTACGACAGATCCCCAACAGGTGTCTCTACAACAGAAACCACAACAGGGGTCTCTACAACAGAAACCACAAGAGGTGTATCTACAACAGAAGACACAACAGGTGTATCTACAACAGAAGACACAACAGGTGTATCTACAACAGAAGACACAACAGGTGTCTCTACAGCTGAAATCATACCCGCTGCATCTACGACAGATCCCCAACAGCTGTCTCTACAACAGAAACCACAACAGGTATCTCTACAACAGAAATCCCAACAGGTGCATTTACGACAGATCCCCAACAGGTGTCTCTACAACAGAGACCACAATAGGTGTCTCTAAAACAGAAACCACAATAGGTTTCTCTACAACAGAAGCCACAACAGGTGTCTCTACAACAGAAACCACAACAGGTGTCTCTACAACAGAAATCCCAACAGGTGCATTTACGACAGATCCCCAACAGTTGTCTCTACAGCTGAAATCATACCAGCTGCATCTACGACAGATCCCCAACAGGTGTATCTACAGCTGAAATCACAACAGGTGTCTCTTCAGCTGAAATCACAACCGGTGTCTCTTCAGCTGAAATCACAACAGGTGTCCCTACAACATAAACCACAACAGGTGTATCTACAACAGAAATCCCAACAGGTGTATCTACAGCTGAAATCATACAAGCTGCATCTACGACAGATCCCCAACAAGTGTCTCTACAACAGAAACCACAACAGGTGTCTCTACAGCTGAAATCACAACAGGTGCATCTACGACAGATCCCCAACAGGTGTCTCTACAACAGAAACCACAACAGGTGTATCTACAGCTGAAATCATACCAGCTGCATCTACGACAGATCCACAACAGGTGTTTCTACAACAGAAACCACAACAGGTGTCTCTACAGCTGAAATCACAACAGGTGCATCTACGACAGATCCCCAACAGGTGTATTTACAACAGAAACCACAACAGGTGTCTCTACAACAGAAATCACAACAGGTGTCTCTGCGGCAGAAACCACAGCAGGTGTCTCTACGACAGAAACCACAACAAGTGTCTCTGCGGCAGAAACCACAACAGGTGTCTCTACGACAGATCCCTAACAGGTGTATCTACGGCAGAAACCACAACAGGTGTCTCTACGACAGAAACCACAACAGGTGTCTCTGCGGCAGAAACCACAGCAGGTGTCTCTACGACAGATCCCCAACAGGTCTCTCTACAACAGAAACCACAACAGGTGTCTCTACGGCAGAAACCACAGCAGGTGTATTTACGACAGATCCCCAACAGGTGTATCTACGGCTGAAATCACAACAGGTGTATCTACGGCTGAAATCACAACAGGTGTCTCTACGACAGATCGCCAACAGGTGTCTCTACGACAGATCCCCAACAAGTGTCTCTACGACAGATCCCCAACAGGTGTCTCTACGACAGATCCCCAACAGGTGTCTCTACTACAGATCTCCAACAGGTGTCTCTACGGCTGAAATCACAACAGCTGTCTCTACGACAGATCCCCAACAGGTGTATCTGCGGCTGAAATCACAACAGGTGTCTCTACGACAGATCCCCAACATGTGTCTCTACGACAGATCCCCACTGACGTCACTGTTGACATCAATGCTTATGCCCCCGTCACCAACATCATTGCATGTCATTGTGAGTGTGATGCCAGTCGTAGGGTTGTCATCTTCCCTATCGTCAACATCACTAAGGAGCTACAGACCAAACTTGACAACCTGAAAAAGGAAACCGAAGTAAACGAAGAAATGTTATCGTCGACGATAAGAACGAAGACCAGTGCCAATGACCCTCGTCCCTCCTCGGCTTATATTGGATATTTTAGAGTTGCGCTTTCAAAAAGGAAGTTTATAACAAAGATATACCAGACACGGGGTCGAAAAGGTCTTCATCTTAAAAAATACATCATTGATTTGCTGACACCACTTCTAATTTGATGTAGAACACAGTTACTCAGTGTGTCTATATGCAGTTAAGGTAAATACTACAGACCTCACACGGAATTGTTATATTGTCCGAGTATCTATAACATACTCTTATAGCAATACAACTATGTTTAATGAGTTTAATATACACCTGTATGTTTGCATCATAAAGCTCAATATTTACAGTTTAAATAACATTTAACTGTACTCGCAATAAACAAAAAATGGGGATCAGTTGACACATCAATTAACTTTGATATGATGACGAATACATTGATGTATATTTTGTTTATGCACTAGCAAAATCTTTTTTGATAATTCAATTGAAGGTTCCAATCCTCCACATAAGGTGTCTGTCGACTTTGGTGACTCACACAACAAGACGCAACATTTAGCGAAGCCAATTATAAGCTAGATAATTGTACCTTGGTGTACATTCCGAACGATGATGCTCTTTTGGAGGCCTCGGCTTTTTTAACAGAACAGCTTGGAACGTATGCATCGTTTTATCATTTAGACGGCCAGGAATGCATTGCAATATATATTCTCATTGGGAAATTCCACGATTTTCGTTGCTCAGCAATATTGTCTGCACTCTGTTCGAAACAATTTAAAACAGGTACGTACAGACAAAATATCATTCGATTCATTCTTTATTTCTTTTTCTTTTAGATAACGTGCCATACTCCTTATTATCTACAAAATGTAAATAAAAAATACTCATTAAACCACAAATCAAAATTCATTGTGTTATTTCGATATTTTGAGTAACATCTAAAGAGGACCTTATACAAAAAAATGTGTATTATTTAAAACAAAAAACAAACAGAAAAATATATTTAAACAAGTAGTTCACTACAAATAAATCGTACTTAATATTGAAACATAGTTGTATCATATTTTAGTAAGAATTTCCTTGTGTTCATTAAAACAGAAAATCACAACAGATGTCTTAACTAGCAACATGAATTATCGGACTACAGACAGCACTAATGACGTAACTACTGATGTCAAAGTTGTCATCAGTGATAATGCCACCAACAACAACTCGTGTCATTGTGATTGTGATGCCAGCCGTAGGGTTGTCATCTTCCCTATCGTCAACATCACTAAGTGGCTACAGACCAAACTTGACAGCCTGAAAAAGGAAACCGAAGTAAACGAAGAGATGTTTTCGTCGACGATAAGAACGAAGACCAGTACCAATGACCCTCGTCCCTCCTAATTAGCTAACTTTGCTATCTAGGGATAGCGCATCTGACCGCAATATTACGGGGGAATTTCCATGGTGGACCTGTCGAGAGTGATCATGGTGTTGAAAACGTTTTGTTAGTTTTTTACATGTTTGTTTTTATTCCTTCTTTTGGTTTTTAATGCAACTGTACTGAATGTAAAATAGTGACATAAAAAATACTTTCAACGTGAAACATTCAGCGGTCTTATGTTGAATATGACAGATATTTGAATATTTTCAACCCCACACCAATATCACATTTTGTAAGAACGTAAAATAGATAAAAGCTGAGTTCGTGAAGAAAAACGACAATTGATTTATGTAAACACAATACAAAGGTAGCTTTAGTTGGTATTTGTTAACTATATTACAGATACATGTACCAAGGGCGTTGACAATAGATGTGTCAATTCGTATTTAAGAGCTGGATTTTGACTTGTTTGAATAGATATTTTAGACATGAATAGTGGTTGGATTAAAGGTACTACGTGATCAATGTTATTTATTAATATTCAAATTAAGCTTTCTTCAAAATAACTGAATACAATTTGAAAAATATCTCCATGAGTATGTTGATGACAATAAAATTAACATGTTAATGTACTTGATGCGTTGAATAGAAATAATGTAAATAAAAAAGAATCAGTTCAGTTTTGATTTAGATTTGTGACATGTTACAGGGGGGGGGGGACCCAGGAATTAGTTTTGGGGGTTGCCCAAAATTTTAAACTCAGAAAAAGACAATTTATTGGCACTTATCTAAAACTAATAAATTAGAAATGTCATGTTGGTTGTTAAGTACATTATGTATACTACTTTCTGGCACTCAAAATATACATAACGTCGTGATTTATGAGATTGTGACAATAACGATTTCCCCGCCGAGCGGAGCGAATTAGTTTTTTCTAAAGATGTAACACTAAACTATTTCAAGCACTGCCGAGCGTAGAAAGCAAGAATTTATCGGACATTTGTTCCATCGACAAACAGATCGAGTGAGGTGCAGAATAGTTTGCTGAGTTTGCGGTATTATTCCAGGTTGTATCGTATAGCGTAGAGTATCTGTATTTTAAGAAATTCTGTAAAAAAAACTGGTAAAAATGCAGGTTTTTGGTTAAAATGTAGGTTTTTGGTTAAAATGTTGATGTTTGTGTCATGACCTTCATGTGCATGTAGTTTAGGCAAGCATTTGGCAATTACATATTGATTCATTTTGTCATAAATATGAATTATGACTCTGTACGCATACATATGTACAAGGGCAACACCTGATTAAGTGATGCTAAGGAGGGTGCTTCATTGTCTTTAAAATTTTTGAAATTTATATTGTTTAATTGGTATAATTAATCACTCCTGATGACCATGTGTATATGAAACCACAGGTGAAAATACAGGTTTATCTATCATGAAATGGACTGTACCTTTAAAATAACACTTTACCTATATACCTAATTCCAACAGATGGTATAGTCCTCTCTCAACTGACAGGGTGATCACCACACCGTGACATTAGATTAGAGAGTCAGTCTAGTGAGCCTTGACCAGGCCACTGACTTGACGGGTGGAGACGACCCTACTAATATATAGATAATGGAGGATTAATCCCTATTATTTAGAGTATAAGCAGTGGACTCCTTGTTTGGGCAACACCAATAGGCATATATAGATATTCAAACTGCTGGCAAGGGGAAGCCATAGAAAATCATAGTTTAAGGGATGGTTGATATTAGAAGGAAATGCCATATGAAATAGAGGAAATTCTTATTTTTGGACACAGAAAAAAGGGTGTTGCCCGGGCAACTAGGGCAACCCCCCTGGGTCCGCCACTGTGTTCGTATTGTTCATTGATACTTCGACCCGATATATATGTACACTTGCAATTGTGTGTTTTTCATATTGTTATATTTGGATTCTTAGGTCTAATGGTATACGGTATTGTCATTTTGTTGATATTGTCTTGTAGTCTGTTAGATCGCGTTAGAATATTGACAATGGTTTCAAACTGACTGTCGCTTTTATTATCAGAGAAAAGCACTTAGATACAGCTCGTATAGGGTTATTGACACTTTATAGGACACAAAGGTATGCGAAAATCGAATTTCCGATTTTATTTTGAACGACATTTATAAAAGGTTTTTGAAAGCAATTATGTGTAGGCTAATGTTGTATTGAAATATCGACAGATAAGCAAGTTTTCATAGAAGCAGATGATAAAATGTACAACGGCTGTATTGATTAAAAACGATAACAAAGTAAGTAAATTCAAAGCCCTGCTTTCAAAAGTATCAGACAACCAAATACGAACCTCGGTATTCAAATGAACTATTGGGATAGTTTTGCATAGGGAAAAAAATCCTGAAAACATTTTTTTAAATTAATGCAAAACCTTTACTTATCGTTTGCTTCCTGGAAAATAATATCAAAGAAGAAAAAAATCTTTTATCATATATACAATTTGTACGGTTACAAAAGACTTCACACGAACTTTTTCGTTACTTGAGATCGCAAATTAGGAAAGTTTCCTTTTTTTTTGGAAAATGAAATTGCCAAAATAATTAAAACAATCAAAATGTACATCGCATTTTTCTTTAAGCCATCATGTATTTGAGCTGAATACTGCGTTATTGATCGAATTATTACCAAAACTATGCATTTTAGCGATATAATATGTGACCCTTTATTATTATTTTTAATGATAATGGTACCTGAATATCACCTGAGTCACCGTGCGTTTTCGTTTAAATAAAATATGACTGGCTATTCACTTGAATCAGCCGTGATTTTCTGTTTAGATAAAGGTTGTTATTTGCAATGTTTCTCCGACATATCCTTGTTGTTTTCCAATAAAAGAGTAACAGGTCGTGTCGTGTGTTTGATCACATAATACATGAAGTACAGTTATGTGAGCGCACAACACGTACAACGCACCACAAATAGCATGCGCACTTCGTTCACACACCGTCAGCACATCGTCCAGAACTGGTGCGCACACATGTGCGATTTAACAATCGTTCGCCTCGTTGTGCGCTTCTTATCGCACAACTGTACGATTTGGTACAATTTGTTGATCAATATTACGGAATGAAAAAAAATAAACGGAAGGCTCGTAATGTATGCAATAATGTACATTGTACACGGTATGTATTACTGTAATTGTACAATGTTACAATGCGTGCTACACAGTGTTAGATTGAATGGGTTTGGCTCCAAGGTAACAGAAGAGATAAAGAACAATTTGATGAGTGACCGGGGTATTACCTGGCCTGTGTCTGACACACAGAGCTGGTAGGTAATACTGTATGACCGATATGTAAACAAAACTGGGCGTTTAGTATTTGTTACATGTAGTTGCATACGGTTTGGCCTATAACACCCCTTTACCTAGATTGTCACACCCCGACGAGTTACGTAAGTGCCCCGTATGAGGATAACTACGGCCAAGGTACATGAACCTGTGCAAAGTGGCTATGTTAACCTGTATACGGGACTGTCTTGTAATTTTACATGTGTCGATAAAGGGCGTTTAAAAACACCGAAAACACCATTTCTTTATTTAAAAAAGTATAGACAGAAATATTAGCTATTAGTTGTAGCTACATGTAGAATATAGAAACATACTTCAAAATCAAGTTTTTATGATTAAATACAAAACCGTATATATTATTAAACCATTCCTCAATTTTCACCAACCACGACCGTTATCATAAACATTAGTTCATCGTGCGCACAAATGTGCGCAAGCAATGCTCTTTCAATTTTTTATCGTTCGCACATCTTGCACACATCGTGCGCACATCTTGCACACATCGTGCGCAGACCGCACATCGTGTAACTTTGTGCGATCCCAAATAGGAATTGAACGGCGTTTTTATTAATTTTTCATACCGGTATGAACGCAAAACGGTTACATAGCGGGCCTCATGTTTATCATTGATGTAACCAATTTGCGTTCATACTGGCATGAAAATTAAGAAAAACGCCGTACAATACATATATCTACATTTTTACTATAGAACAATTGTTTAGATAGATTTATTTGTTCCTAAATAAGTTATTTGTTTACTGTGTTTTGTATATTCGTCTTCTTTAAACGACATTGACGGAACTGCCCTAATTTAATAAATTTGGTGCCACTAGTTAACCGTAGTCATTTGAACGTTTGACATTCTCTATGTTATCCGAAGTGAAGCGACAAGACTCTCATTGAGCAAGGTTAATCTATGACGTCATAAGTAAACCACGTGTTATCTCACGAGATTTTCATCTTTTATACTCAAAAGAAATGTATTTCTGCTGGTAATATTGAAATAGTGGGTTGCAGCGCAAATGTAAATATAACTGTATATAAATAAAAATCAAAGAAAATCTAATAAAAAGACAAATTAAACTTTTTGTTAGAAAATATATTTCTGGGTAATCGTTTGACCATATTTTTATTTCAATCATATAAATCAAAATACAGAAGAAAAGGAAAGTGTATGCATATTTTTTTAATGATACTACGTGCATTTCTAATCCAGAAAAGAGCAATATCAGACAATATATTTTGAACAATACAAACATGTAAAACACGAGTTTCTTTTTAGACTAGAATGAGGATTTCTTCCTAAAGAGCATTTATATACACTGCATAAAATAATATAGTTATTTTCCTAAATCGCATTGTAGACGTGATAAAATAACAGTATCATGAAATATATTTTATCTATTCTGATCAGAAACGCTGGAACATTATTCTAGTTATATTTTTATTATTATTATTGTCAATTTTTAAACTTTATTTAATAAATTTTTAAATTTACTTTTAGTAGTATAATAATATATTCTTAAACATAAAACGGTATGTCGAATAAATCTTACGTTTTTTATTTATTTGTTTGATAATAAAAATTACCCGGGCTTTATCCGACTAACACGATTACCTACATGTATATCTTGAAATCCTGACTTCGTTGACAATGTTATGTCATACAATAAATGTTCTACTAGAG